TACCCCTACCCCTACCCCTACCCCTACCCCTACCCCTACCCCTACCCCTACCCCTACCCGCACCACCTCCACCACGAAGACGACGACGACTACTACTACTACTACTACTACGACTACGACGACTACTACTACCATCAGATCAAGACTAAATCTAAAAAATACTAGTACTAACACTAAACCTAAAACTCTCCTGAGCGGGCCGAGCCACAACGGCACCGTCAGGAACTGCCGAGAGCCGCTCCTGCAACTGTACAGACCCCCTGTGCAAAGCCCCTGTTGCAACGTCGAGGCAGGTGGCATTGTGACCTAGGACGCAGCAGGAGTTTGTGGCTTTATTTGTTTTTGAGATTTGCAGAGCCATGGTCTCAGGATGGATTCCGGGTTGTGCTGCTTGGAAGCGGGCCCCAAAATCCACTGCAACCTGTTCACGCTTGACAAGATAACTGATCTCAGCTATGAAGCTCTGGCAGGCCCACAGCACTTGAACGCAGCAATGGCTGGCACAAGGCTTTAGGCAGGGATTTGCCGGGCAGATTACGTGGTTTTGTACCGGCCCAACAAGAAGTTGAGGGGTTATCAGTCTAACATCGTTGCAGGGGTTGCGCGGGAAGAACAGGAGCAGTCATAGGCTCCGATGTTCACGAGGCTCATAAGGCGAGCCAGGCTTTTGCTGTAGAGGGGTATCGCTGTTTTCTCTCAAGTGCAAGGGAGATGTGGTACCCGACGGGGACGTCAAGAAGTAGCTCTCTTTGGGTCTCTGCTGAGACCACACTTGCTCCCTCACATGCCCTGCACCCGGTGCCGAGCCAAGCTGAGAAGGCGACATTGAGGCAGGAAACTGCAGGATGATGACATTTCCTGCAGTTTCACAGCTTCACATGCCCCCCCTATCCGCTGTTATCCGCAGGGTGATAACAGCAAAACGGATCATCATCTCTGCTGCGTGTACAACGACTACAAAATCAAAATAACAATTAACATAGTACTGCCATCAGTGCAAATTGGAAAGTTGTCTCTTGGGGTCAAGCACGACAAAGAAAACTCTCAACTCAAAGCTTACCACTCACAGCTTACCAACTAATTTTGAAAGGTCTCCTCTTCCGGCCATTTGGCATCTGTGACGAGACCAACATAGATACCTCGGAAGGCCATTGCTCAATGCAAAGCCTCCAAGGCCTGAAATTACACTGCTGTACGCATAAATGTTCGTGAATTTGAAGTCGCATGGACGACAGCTTACGCACCTCGCTGTGATGAAGCTTTTTTCAGCTCAGAAACACCACGGACAGCAGCACCCGAAGCTAGATTGAAGGCTGTACTTGCGAGATTTGTTAAGACAAGCACAGATTTGCCCTCGTATGCATGTAGAAGAAGAAACGCCAGATAGTTCTCGAACGGGTAAGTGTTGGGCTCACGTCCCTCCCACATACGAAGTTTATGAATGCAAGCTGCGCCATCAACACCTAAACCCGAAACAAGCACAAACATGTCCCGAATGCTTCAAAGGTCCCAACAAGTACCCTGCGTCACGAGAAGCCTTGCCTTTTAAAAAGAAGAGACACGGGAGCGGGACCTGGAAGTGACCTTCACCGAGACGCAATATGGCCTTAGCTTGTCTAGCACCCAAAGCCGTCTTTGTTGCAAGAATAGTAATAGTCGCAGTAGCAGTAGTGGTGCCAGTGGTAGCACCTGTAGAAGCAATGGCACCAGCGGTTCTGGCCAGTGTTCGCATCTTGAAAATAGTTCCTGCACCACTGGCATGACATGACACGTCCTATAGATAAAAGAAGCTGATAGCAAAGATGCTCGTCTCTCGTCTGCATCATCATCTTTGTGTTTCTATCGGTTGTACAAACAATGCTCGGACTTGCTTGTTCGGAATCTCAGACAGGTTCTGGAGTACAATGCTTTGTCGCGGATCTGGTGTCCTTCTAGGAGCCATGGTACTACCACTACTACTACTACTA